ACTGGGGACAAAAAGGGACACTGGGGACAAAAAGGGACACTGGGGACCAGAGGGGACACCGGGGACGAGAAGACCCAGCCCATGCCACAAGGGGACCTGCACCCACCCACCCAACACCTCCATTCAGGGCTCTGACCCAACAGGAATCCCTGGAAGTCCCTCAGGGAGCTGGGTCTGGCGCTGAGGACGGGGAAGCAGCGGGACAAACTGGAGGGGAGCGGAGCCCCCACCCCTGGAGGGGCTGAACGTCCCCGGGGATGTGGGGCAGGGGCGGCCTGGGCAGAGCTGGGGGTGCTTGGACTCGGTGCCCATCAGCTCTGATCAGCCCCCGTCCCTTTTCCACATGCTCCAGAACCTTCTTCCCACCCAGGAGGCACCTCGGGCTCTGCTGGGAGAGCTGGGGGTGTTCTCCTGGAGAAGGGAAGGATCCCGGGAGAGCTTGGAGCACATTCCAGAGCCCAAAGGGGCTCCAGGAGAGCTGGAGAGGGACTGGGGACAAGGCATGGAGGGACAGGACACAGGGAATGGATCCCACTGGGAAAGGGGAGATTTGGGGGGGAGATTGGGAAGGGATTCCTGGCTGGGAGGGTGGGGAGGGGCTGGGCTGGAATTCCCAGAGAAGCTGGGGCTGCCCCTGGATCCCTGGCAGCGTCCAAGGAAAGGTTGGAGCAGCCTGGGATAGCGGGAGGTGTCCCTGAACATGGAATGGGATGGGATTTAAAGTCCCTTCCCACCCAAACCAGTCTGGGATAAAGGATACTCAGAATCCAGTCAGAGGGGTTTTTTTGGAATGTGGGGATGGCAAAGGCAGGAAAGGGGAAGGGAGACCCTGCCCTGAGCCCCGAGATTCCCAGGGAACCCCCTTGTTCCCTGAACTCCTTCCCAGGGAGGAGTTGGGCTGGGGATGGATCCAATGTCAGGCTCTGGCTCCAGGCTGGGAGAGCTGGGAATGGCCAGGCTGGATTTGGGAAGGATCCCGGGAGAGCTTGGAGCACATTCCAGAGCCTGAAGGGCTTTCCAAGGAAAGCAGCCCCTCCCTGGCTGTTCCCCTGCGGCTCCCACAGGGCCCATTCCAGCGGCATTCCCGAATTCCCTACCGGGCTGGGAATAAACGGTCCCCACGTCCATCTTGAAGGATCCCACGAGTGTCCCGCTGCGCAGGAGGTTCTTCGAGTGGATCACCTGGAATTCCAGACGGGAAAACCGGTCGGGTTCCCATTCCCGTGCCCCGGGAGTCACGAGGATCTTTCCAGAGGTGTTTGGGGTGGGATGGGAAAGGAGTTGATCCCTTTTCCTTGGAATGTGTGGGGTTCCAAGGACACACGGCGGGGTTGGCAGCCAGGATTTGAGGGAATTCAGGAGCTGGATGGATCCAGGATTTGAGGGAATTCAGGGGCTGGATGGATCCAGGATTTAAAGGGAAGGGGCTGGATGGATCCAGGATTTGAGGGAAGGGGCTGGATGGATCCAGGATTTGATGGAAGGGGCTGGATGGATCCAGGATTGGAGGGAATTCAGGGGCTGGATGGATCCAGGATTTGAGGAAGGACCTGGATGGATCCAGGATTGGAGGGAATTCAGGAGCTGGATGGATCCAGGATTCGAGGGAAGGGGCTGGATGGATCCAGGATTTGAGGGAAGGGGTTGGATGGATCCAGGATTTGAGGGAAGGAGCTGTGTGGATCCAGGATTTGAGGGAAGGAGCTTGATGGATCCAGGATTTGAG